TAAACTTTTGGAATAGATTCTTTGTGTATTCCTTTTTTTTGTCTTGTCTATATGTAAACGTGTGTTATGTGAAGTTGCTTATTCAGGACAGTACTATATATATATATATATATATATAGTGATTATGGTACCTATGATAACTATTTTATTAATTAATTTATTAACGTTTTGCATATTCTGCAAGGGGTATGTAACTTTATGAGTAGAATATGTCAGGATGTGTGTTGTATGATGTCCATTAAGTTGTTGAAGATCATTCATGAAACTCATGTCTGTTTGTCTGATGAGTGAATCTATGATGTTCTTCTGCTGTTTGTTTGCATGTGTTTCATTATGAATCCAGGCATATTTCTCTGCTCACAGTCTTTATGATCTGTAGAAAAACATTGTCACAGCACTTTCCTGTTTGTTTGTTTGACTAATAATCAACTGTTCAATTCTCCAGGTGTGTCTGGTGTTAGGGATGATGTGTCCTTGTCAGTGAATGAAGGAGATTCAGTCACTCTCCACACTGGTGTTAAAACAGACCAACAAGAAAAGATTAGATGGTATTTTAGTGGCATTCGCATCGCTGAAATTACTGGAGATTTCAGTTTTATCTGTACAGATGTTCAGTGTAAAGACGCTGATGGGAGATTCAGAGACAGACTGAAGCTGGATCATCAGACTGGATCTCTGACCATCACAGACACCAGAACCACAGACTCTGGACTTTATCAACTAAAGATCATGAAAGACAGAAGAGACAGTGAAAAGATCTTCATTGTTTTTGTTCATGGTGAGTCATTACATTTGAAAGCAAGTACATCAGGGCACATTTAGTGATATTGTTGCAGTGACATTCAGAGGTGTTTATCTCCTTACCTGCATTCTAATTCACATTTAGCACATAGATCATTTCTTCAAAAATGTTGCTGAGTCTGCTAAACATTCCTGAAGAACTGTGTTGCTTGGCAAAGCAGTTGTTATTTGTTATTGTTAGAAATCCATTATTAAGTTACAATTTTGTTTCCCTGTGCTTGTTTTGTGAAACTATGCCAGATTGAGGGTGGCCTAATGGTTAGAGAGTCTGACTCGTAACCCAAAGGTTGCGGGTTTGAGTCTCGTACCGGCAGGGATTGTAGGTGGGGGGAGTGAATGTACAGCACTCTCTTCCACCTTCAATACCACGACTGAGGTGCCCTTGAGCAAGGCACTGAACCCCCAATGCCCACTGCTCCGGGTGTGTGTTCACGGTGTGTGTGTGTGTGTGTTCACTGCTGTGTGTGTGTGCACTTAGGATGGGTTAAATGCAGAGCACTAATTCCTAGTATGGGTAACCATACTTGGCCACATGTCGCGTCAATTTGAAAACTTTGAAAACTCATAATATGGTTGTATGATGTATGATGTTTGAATGGTTGTATGATGTTCAACAACATTCATTTGGTTGTTGAAGATCATTCATGAGACTCATGTATTTTTGTCTGATGAATGAATGTGTAAATCTATGATGTTCTTCTGCTGTTTGTTTGCATGTTACATTATGAATCCAGACATATTTCTCTACTCACAATCTTTAAAGGGATAGTTCACCCAAAAAAGAAAATTCTGTCATTAATTACTCACCCTCATGTCGTTGCAAACCTGTAAGACATTCGTTCATCTTCGGAACACAAATTAAGTTATTTTTGATGAAATCCGATAGCTTTCAGACCCTCCATAGACAGCAATGTAACTGAAATGTTCCCAGGCCAAGTTAGGTAGTAAGGACATCGGTAAAATAGTCCATGTGACAAAAGTGGTTCAACCGTATTTTTTTTCCTTCTCCTTCGTGTCACCGTGGGCACCATTAACGAGAGTACCATAATGCATGCATGTGCATTCTTCTACTCGTAAACAAGGCTCAGCATGCGTGTTCTATGTCAGCAGCACCACACGCATGCGTCGTGGTACTCTCGATAATGACGGCAGACTGTCCCAGAAGAGAAGAAATCGTTGAATAAAGTTATTTTTGTTTTCTTTGTGCACAAAAAGTATTCTCGTATAGCTTCATAAAATTACGGTTGAACCACTGAAGTCACATAGACTATGTCCTTACTGTGTTTCTGTGCCTTGATCGGGGTTGTACCCTTGCTGTATATGGGAGGGTCAGAAAGCTCTCGGATTTCAATAAAAATATCTTAATTTGTGTTCCGAAGATGGTCTTACGGGTTTGGAACGACATGAGGGTGAGTAATTAATGACAGAATTTTCATTTTTGGGTGAACTATACCTTTAAGATCTGTAGAAAATAATTTTTAGAGCACTTCCCTTTTTTTTGGCTAATAATCAACTGTTAATTTATTTTCCAGGTTTTTTCAGTGTTGATACAGATGAAGAATCAGCGTTTGTGATGGAGGGAGATTCAGTCACTCTACACACTGATGTTGAAACAAACCAACAAGAAAAGATTAGATGGTATTTTAATGACACTCGCATCGCTCAAATCACTGGAGATCAGACTAATATCTGTACAGATGTTCAGTGTAATGAAGGTACTGAGAGATTCAGAGACAGACTGAAGCTGGATCATCAGACTGGATCTCTGACCATCATGAACACCAGTGAACCGGACTCTGGAGTTTATCGTCTACGGATCATCAGCAGCAGCAACATCAATGAAAATATCTTCATTGTTGCTGTATATGGTGAGTCATCATGTTTAAAAGCAAGTCATGAACATTTAAATTTAGTGATTTTTTTTTACAGATTTTGCAGATAGTTTTTCCCTTTACCTGTATGTTAGTTAATTCACATAGTATAAAGATAATTTTGTCAAAAACACATTTACTGTTGAAGTGGAATTTGTAGATTTAAATATAGCCTACATTTATTACAGTATGCCTTAAAGTTAGTTAGTTATTGGTTGGTTATTAATTTTATCAGTCTTGTTCTGATGAAGATTAAAGTTCTGCTATCATCAGTTTAAATCCATCTATTATTTCATACTCAGTATTTTTTATAGTTCATTAGAAATTCAAAGTCAAGCAGATTTGATTAAAAAATATGCATATTAGCTCAATTGTGGATAAATGCAGTTTTTTAGACAAAGTAAAGAGGATTCCACAGTTCACTCATCTAGTGTGTTCCCCTCAAAAAGATCCTACATCATCTGTTGGTTTGTGTTTCAGGAGTTTCTGCTGTTGAACGAGATAAAATGAAGAGAAAGTCAGTGAAGGAGGGAGAATCCGTTACTTTGGATCCTGGTGAAATTAAAAACCTGAATGATTCAATGACATGGTATTTTAGTGACATTCTCATGGCTGAAATCACAGGAGATCAGAGTAAGATCGGTACAGATGATCAGTGTAAAGAGAGATTCAGAAACAGACTGAAGCTGGATCATCAGACTGGATCTCTGAACATCACAAACACCAGAACCACAGACTCTGGACATTATAAACTACAGATGAACCACAGCAGAATCAGTATCATCAAGATATTCAGTGTTATTGTCACTGGTGAGTATCATTAGTCATTCCATGCACTTTACTTTGCAGTTTTAGAAAGAAGATTAAAACTTATAAATCTACCCAGCAAATGTTTTCATTGTGGGCTGTCAGAAAAGGTGAGGTTTGACTCAATATGAAAATATAACTGAGATCATCTTTATCACCATCATATGCATGCAACATTGAGCTTTGTCACATTATGAATTTGACAGATTTCAAGTCTATTGTTAATGAGAAAATATACACTATATTAGTTAGTTTTCCTGCTGATTCTTGTCGCCACTTTTGCTGTTCCTCAAAATCTACCAGATGATCATTTATGAAATAAATCAATATTGGACTGATGACATAAGTAGACAAGTGTAAATATCAGTCAAAAGTATTGTTAAAGTAGATTTTTAGTCAATCTCTAGTAATAATGACTGCCTGTCTTTAGCTGTTCCAGATTCAACTGTTGTTGCTGCTGTTGTTGCTGCTGTTGTTGTTGTTGTTGTTCTGCTGGTGGCTGCAGCTGCTGTCATTTACTATCATCTAAGGAAATCTACACAAGCAAGACAAAATGGTAAGCATTACATACAGCTGATTTTACAAGATGGAAAATGAGATCTATTGTAATCTTTAAAAATACGATTAAAGTTTGCTGTTATTGTTGTTCAAACAGACACAATGCAGCACAATCATGATCAGGTGAGATATTATGTCCATACAATCTTTCTGATTGCAAAAAAATATATATAAAAATTACAACTGATTCTGATCTGTGAGATCTGTAAGTCTCACAAGTGTAAGTGTGTCTGAGTTTTCTGGATGTGTATGTGATTTATTCGGAAATTATTACACAGAAACACCAATATTTATATACATTTATTGACTTATTTAAGAGAGTCAAGGGCACTGATCTTGTGCTCTTTTACTTCTGAATGAAGAAAGAGGTTGTTTAGATTTAGCAAAAAAAATTGTGACTGAATCATCAAACCTGATCATTTGTTTAACCTTCTGTGAATGTGTGTTTTCTTATAGGGAAATGGTGTGGACTCAGCTCCCTTATCAGAATGGGATGCATTCATCGCTGATGATATTGGGACATCACAGTAGCTTTATTTATTATTTTGGTAACTAATGCTGCGGTCGATTTACCTCAGAAGACGAATGTCGGAGCTGGGAATGACGTCACACCCAAGTAGACCGTGTTCCAGTAGAGAAGTCTAATGGAGTTCACCCGTGGTAGCAGTGTTTGGAAAAACTGAGCATTACACCGCATTGTGTAACTGTCTGCAGACACTCACATACTCCATAGCAACATGTTCACAGATAGAGGTTGGGCAGTAATGAGTGTATGACTCAATGATGGCATGGAAATATAACAGAAGCTTTAGGAATATTACAGTATTTATAGTTTTTTAACTTTTGCTCACACAGGGAGCAGCCATCTTGAATTCTCAACTTGGGTTTGAGTGAATTTCTACATAACAGAAATTTTGAATAAAGCAGCACATTACCAGCAATAGAAAAGATTAAAGGTGGGGTAAGTGATTTTTCAAAAATGCTTTAGAAAAGGCTGAATAGCAAAACAAACTTGTAGCCAATCAGCAGTAAGGGGCGTGTCTACTCATGATGTGGAGGAGAGAGCGCTCAGTGCACAGGATGGACATTAGCCGAGCCAAGTGACAGAAAGATAGAGATGGCGGATAAAAAAAACAAAAGATGAAAACGTCTGCGGAACAAAATAAGGCAAGAAGTAGGACCCATGTAAATATCGGATCAGCTTTCCAGCGCTGGAGAGAACTCAAGGAGCGGAAGACCTGCAATCGGATGCCGAGGATTCTTTCTTCGAGGAAGGAGGCGGGAACCGCCGAACATTTAAACAAAACTTTAATAAAATAAACAAACACAAAATGAAAGTAAAGCGACAGCCCCTCGCGGACAACTGCCGCACACAAAACACAAAATAAAGTCCAGGCCTGGTCCTCTCTCCTCCAACACTGTCGTCACTCCTTCTTTTATCCTTCCGGAGCTCCTCCGTGGGACTCGAGACTGGTGAATGGCGCAGGTGTCGCGCATTAGCATTTACTCCACCGGCCTCGCTCCATTCCCACGGCTCTCGGCCCCGCCCCTCTCGTCACAACGGTGTAACATTGGTTTTGCTTTGTTTCACAGAACTAATCGTTGCCTGGGTTGCGTACGTATGTGTGGGGCGGAGCTATCAAAATAGAGGCGAGACCCTTTTGGGGTAGGGGCGTATTTGTTTTGGTGATTTCAAATGTCAACATTGGCTACCAGAAATCGCTTACCCCACCTTTAAGTGTAATATTCTGCCTTTTTAAGCATTTGAGATGTGGAACAGATTTTTTTTATTATTATTATTTATTTAATTTTTTTTAGTACATAGTTTGTGCCTTTCACGTGAGGAGTAAGATGGAGGCCTGTGGGGCGTTCAAGGTAAAGCTTACTCTTTCACATGGTTTTTTATTATAGATGTTTGTTTTGTCCATCTTATTCAGTTCTTTTTATGGAGAATGTTTGGCTGTGTTGTATTTGTTCAAAGTGCTTGTTATATCATGTAAATATTGTGTTTTTTGTTTGTTTGTATTCTATAATATTATCACTGTGTGATGGAAATGATCGCCTTCACTTGAATTTCCTGCATGCTCTGTCCAGTCTCTACCACCACATGCCAGGACAGGAAAAACAACAGGGAAAGTATGGTTGACTCCATCTGTTTATCTGAACAATGGGAAAATACTTCTAATTGTGCAATGTGATGTGGATTATGAGATCTGTTCTGTCACTTATTCAGAAAGCTATTTTTTTTAAATTTATTTTACTGTGAATCTGCCATAGAAAACACCATGTAAAAATAAGCCCATGTAAAACTATTTTCTTACAGTGGAAATTAACATGAAGCATATTTGTTTGCTCATGTGACAAAGGCTATTAAAACAATTGATACTTATATATCATAGCTGAACTCGGTGTTTGTCATTTTGAATTAGTTAGAAATAACTGAACTAAACAAACCTTGTTTCATTTATAGAGGGATCATTTTGACATGATTTCCACTCAGTGGGGACTGAACTTTTTTAGCACTCAACCTTCACCCAAGCTGTTCAACTCAGTCCTTTAGCAATATGAACACATGAGTTTCATCAACTGTTATTTTAAAAGCTTGTAGTTTGTGTATTTATATTGGAAGAGTGTAGGCTAATCTTGAAAAAGTGAATTCCTAGACACTAAATTATGTTCTAGTAAAGTATACAAACTTGTCTATCTTACACCTCAAAGACAATCCCATATTAAAGCAAGATTTTTTTTTGTTTTACACTGACATATCAGTGATGGTGCATTGACGAATGGATTGTGTTTCTTTACCAAATACGTCTGTTCTGGGAGTATGTAAGTTTGGCGAGTGGGTACAAAATTCTGCGAAAAGGCCTAGATTTCTTGCTTCTAGCTACATTCAGTGCAGCCCTTATAGGAAATTGCATTGTAAGAATGTGCAGGGATACTTCAAATATAAAAACGGTGACTTATTAGGTAATGTTTTCTCATTAAAATCAGATGACTTCACTTTTTATGAGCAATATCATTGTCTATCAAGCTGTGGTAGAGATGGTCGAAAGCAAATACCACTCTACAGGCATTGTTCTGTGGCAATATGATTGGTATGGTACGGCATATCTAGTAGATAAAGGTTGCAAAGATTATATTTTGTAATATAAAACATACATTGGTCAGTTCTGGCAGAATGTTTGGGATAGAAATGCAGGCGAGGCTTTATATGTTTAAACTACATAAGCAGCAGGTGAAAACACACCTAATGTGATGTGGGGATATTATGTATAAAGGCCGTGACAGCTTTGTAGTTGTTCACAGTCAACACAAAAATCTCGTAGCAACCGAAACACAGATGATAAACTCTGCTAGTGATAGCATTTGTGTTGCGGTAGTACGGTTACATTAAAGAGTCACTGAGTCACTATTAGCAAGAGTTACTATTAATGTCACTGCACACATTTATTATTAGGTTTTGGGAGGTTAGGACGATTCCAAGGGCCCGCCCCCCCGGACCGCGATTTTTTATTTATTTTTTTTACCCCGGGGAACGCGGAACGACATTGCTTAGTAAGGTTTAACATCTGTAAATGCATTAGTTTACAATGAGTCAGGGAAAAAAATATTATATGTTAAAGGACCTCACACGCCGCACAATTGCCATTATTTCACTCCAGAGGCCAACAGATACTTAATAAAATAAAATGAATGGCCAAAACTTACAGGGGACGTCCCATATGCACACCTCATATGAAACTATTTTAATGCAGCGGTTTAGAGATGTGACATTACACTTACAGTAGACAATTACAGTAGAAAAAAGAATGGCGACTTCATAGGGGATGTCCCAAATGCACACCTCATATGAAAGCCTGTAAGTGGTGTCATCAGTTTGTCATCAAAGTGTTTTTATCATTGGGCCTTAGTATTTGCTGAAAGGAGTTTTAATATAGAGTGATCAGCTATGATTTCAGTGTCATGCTACAAGCAAAGACAAAACACAGTAACAATGGCAAGAAACCGAAAAATATAAATATGAATAAGAAATATATATTGAAGCATTTTTCATATTTCACATTCACACATTAAGATCTCTCAGTAATATCACTGTTTGATTTAATAGAATCATTTGGATTTATTACTATGTAGCGAAGCTGTTTTGTCTAAAGCAGACGTCAAACGGCTTCATTTGAGTGAGAATGGGAAAAAAAAAACTTTCAACCACATGCTTTCACCTCAAACATACTCTCACACACTGACATTAAACACAGATATCTAGCAGATACAAGCTCATGCAGAACCTGTTTGTCCAACAGGTAAAATCACATATACAGACGTGAATCAATGAGACAACAGCAGGGTCTAAACTCCGTTTGAGTATTTTGCATCTGCAATTTGCACTTTTTTTAATGAGATTAACACACGTGGTCTCTTTAAGACTTTAAGAATCAAACATGAAAATTTGTCATGTGTGACAAATGATTTAGATCATTTGTTAAAAGTCCTTATTGAAGTTTTTAGGAGACCATTTCATGAATTCATCTTTAAGTACCACACTTTAAACCCTGCTGCATGGCAGTTTGAGTTCCTGATGCAACAAATGGAGATTCACACCAATCCCAAAACTTAAACATTGACTTTGAAACTGAGCTTGTCGCAGGAGGTTCTCAGTCTTGCAGTTTGATCATCATCTCATGGCAATAGGTACGCACTCCACATTATCTTCCTCTTTAACCTCCTGTAAAAAAACATATCACATAAGAGATTATAATTCTAAAACAACCGTCAGAAGTGTGACCCTTATTACAGACTTACATTAGACTCTACAAAAGTTGCATGAATCTGTTATAAAAAGTGGGAAGCTGTATTAAAGGCAAATGGGGGTAAATCACCTTAATAATGAAATATTGCCATTTCCCCAGGTATTCACTTTTTTTTTGTCCAACCTCTGGACAATTTATTGAAGTAATGCCAAATTGGACAATAAAAATCTGATCTAATATGTGATTTTGCTGTAACAAAATCCAATCTACCAGAAGTATGGAAAAAAAACAAAAAAGATGGACAGTGTAAACGCCACTTTGGTGTTGTAAAGCAGGTTTGATTATTTAAAAAATACATTTGCTCATGGACTGGCCTGCAAAAAAAGAAGAAATGTGCATTGGTGTGACTTTCATTTCCTGAAGCCTTCAGTTTCCTGTTAGATGGTTTTGGCTTTAGTGAGTTTCTGCTCAAATAAACAAACACTGTTCACCGCTCAAAGCAAACAAAATTCAGTCCACTTACATTTTTAAAATGCAACTTAATAGATTTGAATCGGAGATGCATTAAGCATTTTCATTGACATAACTTTCTAAAAAAAAGATGGACAGTGTAAATGCCACTTTGGTGTTGTAAAGCAGGTTTGATGATTTAAAAAATACATTTGCTCATGGACTGGCCTGCAAAAAAGAAGAAATGTGCATTGGTGTGACTTTCATTTCCTGAAGCCTTCAGTTTCCTGTTAGATGGTTTTGGCTTTAGTGAGTTTCTGCTCAAATAAACAAACAATGTTCACCGCTCGAAGCAAACAAAATTCAGTCCACTTACATTTTTAAAATGCAACTTAATAGATTTGAATCGGAGATGCATTAAGCATTTTCATTGACATAACTTTCTTCTGTTAAATTAAGAACAAATAAGATATTTTCTTATATATTATATGCACTGACTGAAGAATTATTAACAATAACAATTGTTGTATTGATGGTAAACTTTGGAAATCATGCCAGTGATCTCCAGTGTTTCTCAGTTACTTCATGTAAAATAAATAAATAAATAACATAAATAAATAAATAGCTTTAATAAGTATTGAATATGGTGTTGTTGTGTGTGATATGTGTCTGATTGATCATTATACAAAAACACAGTCACACACATTTAAATCTGCATTGCTGAATTTATACAGAGATACACCACAAATTAGTAATAAATGATCTTACCGATTTATATGCTTTTCTTTCGAGAAAAGTGGGATCAGCGTAAATTATGTCTTCATCATGGGTCTCAACTGCTTCAACAACAACAACAAAAATACATGAAAACAATCCTAACTGGATCTGTATTTTGTGACTAATGTGTTATTATTATTATGGCTGTCAAAGTTAAAGCATTAATGTACGCAGTTAAATATTTAAAGCAGCAAATATTGAAAATGCATTAACAAATTACATTTTAACTGTTTCACATGCACAAAGTCCATAAAACAGTATGTTTATTATTAAACTTAAAGAGACATTCCTTACAGAGAATTTGTAAATCAAATGCAGACTGGATGCATTTGCATTTTTTATATGGTGAAATTTAATCATCATTAAAGCTTGAAGCTTGAAAAGTGAAACAGCTTAATTCATAGAAGTGTTAACTTACATACCAACAGAGTGCTGCATCTTTAGAATTATGACCATAAAAATGTAACAAAGGTTGTTTTATTATTGGAATAATCTGGATTTGCATTCCCAGTTTGGCTTGATGCAGTTTGAGAAATGCAGAATCAGTTTTTAGTAAAGAGCTGTGTTCAGGGACATTACAGATATATACGTGTATGAATATCATCTACAGCAAAACAAAATAAATTTAGTTTATGTATATAAAATACAAAAAAATGAGAATAATTGTGATTTAAATGATAATTATGACTATCAAACAATTAAAATATTTATTAATATTATTTGTTATAATACTTGTTAAAATCAGTAAGTAACAGTGACCTTCATGATCCTTTTTTCGGTGTTTCCAGCAGATGCAGAATATCCTGACTGCAGCTACGATCAACAGAGATCCAGCAGCAGCAGCAGCAGCAGAAATCAGCACTATCAGAGAGACTGAGCCTGTAATGATAATCACTAATGTAAGTGAATATGCCATTTTGATCTACAACAAAAGAGAGATCAGGTCAGTAAATAAACACATATATCAGCGCTACTGTACCTGAACATGTGAGACAGAGTTTGCTGATGTCCAGATGTGTGGTCTGGTTGCTGATGGGATTGTTGAGCACACAGCTGTAGGTGTTGTTATCCTGATATTCCACCTCCAGAGGTAGAGAGAGACTGATGCTGAGATCAGACACACTGATGCTGGACAATAAACTGTTTCCTTTGTACCAGGAGAGAGTCACATGACCCACATTCACCACTGAACACAACAATGAACAATATGATGATGATGATGATGATGATGATGATGATGATGATGAAGAACACTGTGAAGAGTTACTGCTGATGGCATGAACAGGCAGACGAGCTGAAAACAGGATAATAAAGTCAAATGTGAACAAATCTCATCAACAATCTTCTTTTCAGTTCATTGTGCTGAGTGAGTGTTTTGTTTTTTAATATGTAAAATAAGAGTATGTGAATGTTTGGACAAATGACATCTCTACCCACCATAGACCGAAACACTGAATGTTTTTGATGACCACTTAATTCCACTTCTCTGTACTTCATAGCGTCCAGCGTGTTGAGTTGTGATGTTTGTGATGGTCAGAGATCCAGTTTGATTGTCCAGCTTCAGTCTGTCTCTGAATCTTCCATCAGGACCATCAGATGTGGAGAAGATTTGCTTCTCAGTTATGATTTCAGATACAAGAGACTTTTCAACACCAAATTTCCATGTTATGTGGTCTTCTTTATGTATTTTAGTAACATCAGTGTGTAGAGTGACAGAATTCCCCTCAATCACTGTTATTGACTCACCAAACACACCTGATGAACATGAAGATAGTTTGCACACAATAAGACTCCTTGGTTTAAATCAGCTGCATTTTTTTTGTCATTTACATTCACAATAGCATGCAAAGGCACGGAACAGAATAAAAGGTGAGATATATGAACAGACAGATGTGTGAGTGTATGTGTATTAGCAGATGATAATGATCTAAACAGTATAGGAGCAGCTTTATTACTCTAAATTGAAAAAAAAAAATATTACACCACACACATGCTTTTATAACTTACCAATCTGACGGCACCAGTAAAAACAGAACAAAACACACATTTGAAACATTTTCTTAAGTTGTTCAGTGTCTGATCTAAGAAGACTATCCGCTAAAAACACTCAAGCTGATGTGTGAATCCTCCCACAACGGACCTCCTGTTCACACCTGCATATTTCATAATGTTTTAGTTCATCTGACGTGTGAGTGTATGTGTATTAGCAGATGATAATGATCTAAACAGTATAGGAGCAGCTTTATTACTCTAAATTGAAAAAAAAAAATATTACACCACACACATGCTTTTATAACTTACCAATCTGACGGCACCAGTAAAAACAGAACAAAACACACATTTGAAACATTTTCTTAAGTTGTTCAGTGTCTGATCTAAGAAGACTATCCGCTAAAAACACTCAAGCTGATGTGTGAATCCTCCCACAACGGACCTCCTGTTCACACCTGCATATTTCATAATGTTTTAGTTCATCTGGCCCTTATTAAGACTTAACTGTTCTAATTGTAGGCCTATATATATATCAGTTACACATACACATACTTTTTTAAAGATAGTTCACAGACTATTAAATAGAAGTAGAAGAATAATGATGAATATCAGAGGAACTATAGAAAAATTTAGCCTAACCCTTGTGATTTAAAATGGTTGTATATATAAATACATTTTTGATTGCTTGTGGAAAAAACTAAGTACAAAGTTAAAACCATTTGCCGTCTCACAGTACCAGGTTTACCCGAGGTTCATCTTCTGAGTCAAACTGAAACCTGCTGTGGTTAGATCTGCTGGGTGGACAAACATGTTGTGTGTTTAGTTTGTAGGTGAAAGCCTTCTTCCTGTCCTGCTGTTATGAGCAGCTTTTTAAGATCCTTTAATCTACAGAAAGAATTATGATGAGAAACCGTTTCTGACACAGAGGGAGTGAAACAACAAAATGGCCATATGTAACTTACAATTACTTTTGTGATTGTCAGTTGTTTGGTTTTTAATTAAGTTTGAACTTGGTTGACTTATTACAGGTAAAACATTTCCCTTTGTATGCACACATTATTCAATTATATTAACAAAATATACCCCCCACATTTTATTGTAAAATAAGTGAATACTACAGCTGTTGTTAGTGAACTCTCATCTGTTGTAAATGAAAGTGAAAGTGAGCAATGTGACGGCCAAGTAAGATAACCTATACTCAGAGTTTGTGCTCTACATTTAACCCATCCAAGTGTACACGCACAGCAGTGAGTAGTGAACACGAACACACACACACACACACACACACTATTTGCAGTTGGGGTTCGGTGCCTTGCTCAAGTGTCTCACCTCAGTTGTGGGTAAGAATGTGGAAGAGAGTGCTGTTCATTCACTCCCTCCACCTAAACCTCCTGCCAGTACTGAGATTTAAAGGGGTCATCGGATGCAAAATTCACTTTTCAAGTTGTTTGAACATAAATGTATGTTGAAAGTGTGTGTACACATCCATCCTATAATTATAAAAATCCATCCAGTGTTTTTGTTTTAATCCCTATTTTTAAATCCCCTTTCTCAAACCAGGCTGTTCTAAGACTCCTGTCAGAATGACGTAGTTCTGTACAGGCCCCTCCCACGATAGTTGATTGACAGTAGTGTTTCAGCACAGACTGGACTGGTGTCTTACCTTAGACCCGCCCTGAGTGAGCTGTCATCAGTCCGCCATTGTGTTGACTCTGGTGCAGGGGAAGACAAGATGTCTCCGATTAAGCGATTGAGGTGCTTTATTGTTGGATGTAATAATGAATATAGCAATTGTCATTTACTCCAGACATCTGAGCTGCTGAAGACGCTACTTTCGCTTTGAAGTGAATGCGCCACTCCCGATCAGCCTAAATGCATCTATGTTCGCTCGAATCATTCCTGATCCAGCTTCATCTACAGAAGAAGTGAGTATAAGGGTTTTTTATGAATCTTTGCAAATCACCTTTCCTAATAATGCGCTAATTAGCAAGTTTCACCATGAATGCGGCTAAAGTAAAGTCTCTGAGAGCAGCTCGAAAGAGAGGGGCGGGGCCAGCAGAGCTCATTAACATTTAAAGCAACATGGACTATAATGGCTTGATAAAAACAGAGCTGATTTTGACAGGTCTAAAAAGGTTTTTTTACACTAACATTGAGAAATTTTAACCAAAGTATGTAATAGACTTTTAATTAAGACCCTAAAGAATCATATCAACTTGTGCAAAATGAGCATCCGATGACCCCTTTAAGGTCTATTAAACACTGGTAACCACTGATCCTGTTGAGCTCAACTCTTCTGATGCTGTTTTAGCTACTGCTTCTCAAAAACCCACCAGATGGCGCAATTCATTAGTTAATCAAGCAGAAAGGTGTAAACATCAGTCAAAAATATCAGTAAAACCGACTATCAGTCGAGCTATAGTATTATAGTCTTTATTTACAGATTGAGTTCTGTCTTCGAGTTCTATAGCAGGAATATATAGTGGTGTTGACCACAGTAATACGAGCATGACAGAATGGCAAAAATATATCGCTTATTTAAAAAGATGGAAACATGGTAAATAGCTAATCTAGGTTTAAATGAGTTTGTTATTGTTCAAACAGGCATCAGGAAGGCAACACATTATCAGGCAAGGGGTCTTATTTTTCCTGTTGTTTCTTTAAGGGTTCCAGCAGCATTTACTTATAGCAATGTAGAGCTGTAATCGGGGACATGTGATTTTCTCCTTTGGACACTAGAGAGATAATGAGCTTGTACTACATTTGCTAAAATGTCCAGCTGAGCATGTTGTGTGTGGTGATACTGTAAACCACTAATGCACTTAATGTTCAATGAAATTGTCTAAAAAGAATAAATCAAGAGCCATAAATGACAGACAAAAAGGCACACTGAAGGGTGGAATCAATTTTAATAAAGAAACTACATTTCCATTTAGCTACATAGAACATTTAGCTGAGCTTCTGAATGCTTTGCTATTTGTGAGGCATCAAATTAAAGCAACAATATTTTGGACATCACAATAACCACTTATGAGAGCACATTAGATGAAATCAAAAGATGTGATACAAATAGGCAAAATAAAACTGAGACAGCTGGGCAGAGAATAAATGGGAAAACAATCAAAATGTGTGAGGCAGCGTCCTGTATGAGCTCTATCATCAGTTCCAGTAGACACAGTATTTGATCAGCGTTTTTTGGGGACATTTTCATACACAGCCTCCGACTTTGATTTCTGCAAGAAAACACAAACTTAATCAGGAAAATTGCTGATGTGACAGAAAATTAATAGCAGACCAACTTTAGGTTTCTGTCTGAATAACCTTCAAAACAAGACCTCATTAGTGTTTCTATGAAATCATTTTAAAAATAGTTTTAAAATCCCAAATCAGAAGAGCTGAACATAACGTAAAAGGCATAATAGGAAGAAGAGCAGTTTTGTTTTTGAAATAACTACTGCTACTACAGAACAGATCGAGCAGTTGGAGGAAATTACATCAGTCATCCAGTTCATCACGTGACTTTTTAAACCGTTAAATCATCAAACAAATCATTTAAATTCTGAAGGTTTGAGAATGGTTGCATTTCACACAAAAGCAACATACTTGTTGCAGCACGTCTACAAAGCAACCAGCTTTAGCTTGAAGCTGCATTTGACCGCAGACGATCATGAACCACAGAGCAGCTGCAACTCGAGGCCAGATTTCAGCACAGGTAACATGAGTCAACAACTGTCCTTTTTCATTGAAAATCTAATTATATAAAACTGATGTTGTATGATTAATTTTAGAATAACAAACCCAGTTATTTATACTTAGAACTGTCTGTATATGATTTTAAATAGCAGATTATTTAGTAGGCCACAGCAGGTTTGGGTTTGGTGTAACGGTAAAAGTTTTACATGTAAGATCATAACAGTGATCTCATTATATATGTAAACAAAAAACAAACAAACAAAAAAATGTTCAGACAGACAGTAGCATCTAGGAGAGTGTTGCAGGGTTTTCCCGCGGAACTGGGCTGCTTTTACACTGTTCCCACGGGTTGTTTTTTACAGTCAGGTTTTTAAAACATCTCAGACCGCACCCATTCATTTACACACTTGCACATTTTCAATAAATATCCCGCATTCCTGAATAGAGTTAAGCACACAAATGACATGTAATCATTATCCAGAGATTAACAAAAAAACACAAATGTAAATATAATGTTTTAATGACAGCGAGAATTGCTTGGCTATGAAAATGCTATTCTATACTGCAGAAATTACTGTATGAGCCCAAATAAAATATTTTTACTTTAATAATTATCATGCACACTTGATTTAGTATCATATGCTGCTGGACTCATCAACTGATGAAACAGTGGTTGCCATTACCGATTATGCACGTTCACTGCTGCTCTGTTGTCTTAAAAAGGCTTGAATATTGTACATGAAATTTTTTTTATAAATAAATAAAACACAACCCTACCACTTTTTAAAACAAAATAACACCAGTGATATTTTTGCTTGCAAAAAAACACACAAATCACTTAAAAAGTGCTGGGTCAAATGTGAAGTCACCCTGTTCTTCCAGTGCCCACGTTCTAAGCAGATTTACAAGTTGACCCTGAACATTGTCCCTTTTTATTTTTATATATATATTTTTTACTATTTTTATTTATTTATTTTTACAAGCCAAGAAAAATCTTTCCTAAAAAAAAAAGTGGACTACACTGTTTGCTGTTGTCGATGAGACATGAGCATGCAATGGTGCTTTCGGGAGCAATGAAGGCCGCTCGATCATCCACATCTAACTGTGCTCTTTTATACAAAACAAAAAAAATGTTTTAGGGGTAAAAAAAATTAAAGAGCACGATTAGATGTGGATGATCGAGTGCCCCTCATCATTCCTAATAACACCACTTGATGCTCAGGTTTCATCGAACACAGCAAACACTTAAGCCTACAGTGTATGTGCCTTGTGAAAAGGGACAAGTAAGGGTTTGACATTCACCATTCACTATCGTTGAAAAATGCAAACCCTTAGTGTAAATGGGTGGTGAAAAACATTCTTAAACTATCCTTTGATCATAGGTACTGGCAGTTGGACGTCTGTTCACTGACCGTCTGATGCACATTAAACACAAAACTTCAATCAGATTAACTGACTGCAACAACTTCTTGCAACACAGTCATGAATTGTCTTACCTTTTTGTGTGTTTTGGGTTTACACAATGCTGAATCAGACTCTTCCTCGTGGGTTTGGACTGCATTAACAATCACAGGTGTGTTAAAATGAAAAGTTTTCAATATTATTTATACATTTGTATCTTAAAATATAGTTCTACAGATTAATTGCTTGTCCTCCTGACCTGTTTTTCTACATTTCTTGCAGGTGCAGCACATCACGACTGAAACTACAATCAACAGAGAACCAGCAGTGGCAGCAGGGATCAATATGTAAAATAACGGTAGACCTTGATCTGTAATCGATAGTTCTGCAATGGACAAAATGAGCCAATTGTGTGAATCTGTCTGCTCTTCAACAAACACTATGAAACATCAGCCCTATATAGTCTATATATCACTGACAATATAGCTGGTGACGTACCTGAGTGAATCTGACAGAGTTGAGTGATGTCCAGATGTGTGGTCTGGTTGCTGATGGGATTGTTGAGCACACAGCTGTAGGTGTTTTTATCCTGATATTCCACCTCCAGAGGTAGAGAGAGACTGATGCTGAGATCAGACACACTGATGCTGGACAATAAACTGTTTCCTTTGTACCAGGAGAGACTCACATGACCCACATTCACCACTGAACACACCAGTGAACAATTCTGCTGTGATGATGATGAAATATTGTGTGAACAATCTCTGGTAATGTAAGGAGTGGGCAGACGAGCTAAAAAATATAAGAGAATGAACAGAAACATAGACAAATGTAAGCAACAAAGTTGGTGTAGTGTTTTTAGTGTTTTTGTCATTTTAAACTATAAAATGTTTAAACATTGCAATATTTAGATGAAGACCATGGCTATTCTGTAAACTTTAAAATACTCACGCTTTCAGATTAGTATAGCTATGGATATAAACAATATACATGTTGACATGATTCTAGTGTGGAAAAAAAACTACTTTCATATCCAGTTTTAAAACTTCATCACTATCACAATGTAATGTTGTAAACCCTACAACCATGAAGTGACTGTATAATGATTTAAACAGCTTTGCAGCTCAAACAAAGCTAACATTTTAAAACTAAAATTAATGTACATGCTTTAATAAAGCTCAGGTCCTGTTCATGTCAACTGTAAGTGCCTCACCGTAACCTCCAAATGAGGTACAAGTCAATTTTATTTTATTTGTTTAACTTTTTTTTGGTAATCAAATTTATACTGTGGATTGAGCTTAATATGAATTGAATCTGTAATATTCCTTTAATAAAACAAGAATATTTGGATATTAAGAATGAGGCAAATGATACTCACCATAGACAGAAACACTGAATGTTTTTGATGACAGTTTCGCTGCAATTATCTCTAGTTTATAAAGTCCAGCGTGTTGAGTAGTGATGTTTGTGATGATCAGAGATCCAGTCTGATGATCCAGCTTCAGTCTGTCTCTGAATCTCCCTTCATTATATGTGAAGAAGATTCCAGAGGCTCTATTTATTTGAGCTATCAGAGAGTTTTCATTTCCAAAATTCCACATTATTTCATCATCTTCATGTATTTCAGTAACATCAGTGTTTAGAGTAACAGAATCTCCCTCCATCACTGACTGGGTTTCATTTGTCTCGGCGTGAAACACACCTGCAGAAACAAACAAGTAATCAGTTTCTAACATTTAAATGTGAAATGAATAACAGCAGCAGAGATGGAACATAAAACAAAAGTTGACATATATGAGTAATTTTGTCTAATTTGTATTTTAAAGTTAAAGTACAGCAACGTAAATGTACAGTTAATAACAGCCAAGTCAAACTACTAATTTATTTCTGCAGGAAACTTTTAATGGTTTCATACTTTTATGTTTTTTGTTTCACTGAACAGTCTCGCTGAAATGAGACCTGACTCCAGTAGATCTCACAATAATATCACAGTTTGATTAGATTTATCTGGTGAGCACAGCAAATGCAAATCCTTTTGTTTAAACCATAACAGCAGCTTTATTACTCTGAAATAAAAAGGAAGCCATAAAAATGATTTTTATTACTTACCAATCAAATGCCACCAGCACAAACATAACAAAACAAGCGCATTAAACATTTTCTTTAACAGTTCTGCGTCTGGTCTAATAAAACTATCTGCTTCTAACACTCAAACTGTTCATCTGTTGAGTGAATCCTCCTCTGACAGAGTTTGACCCTCCCAGAGTCACAGTGCAGGCACACACACTGAATGTAAGTTAATCTATCAATGTATAGTTAGATATAATATGCCAAAAAACATTAACATTAAGTCAGCTTTAATTGTTAATGGTGGGAAACGTTTTATCAAAAAACTTTATCAAATAGAAAAAATGTTTTCCCCCCATTTGTCGTTAATGGTTTGACTGTTTTAAATACATATAGAAGAGAAGAACATTTTCTACATGATTAATAGTCAAACTGAATTTAATGGAGAAATAAATCGTTTGAAATGGTTTTATGATTATTCCATTGTTGCAAATTGTTAGTCCCGAGGTGTGACACCAGCAGCTCATTTTCTGAGTCAAACTGAAACCTGCTATGGTTAGTTTTCTTCAGAAACATGCTTTGATCTGTTGGATGGACAGACAGCTTTTTGCACATGAGTGGCCATTTGTTTGATGTATATTTAGTTTGTAGGAGAAGAGGCTTCTTCCTGTGCTACTGCTATGAACATTACAGTTGATGCCCTCACAGAACTGGTTTTCAGTGAGATGCTGTGATCTCACGAGAATTCGTATTTTACGTAAAGGTTCTACAAAATGTACTTTACTTATGTTTTCACAGGCACAAAAACATACTATACTGACGCATTTACAGCATTTTGATGTAGGCCTATACAATAATGGTGTATTGATGACACCTTACTCATTTACTTAATACGAAATGATAACATTTCGTTCTGTGTGATTTCTGCTGCCAACTCGTTTCGTAAAACAAAACTTGTTAAACACGACTTTAAAAGCTCTTAAAATGAATAACTCTTGTCTGCGTCGTCACTGGTGATGGGAAGATTGGATAAGTTTACTGACTTGGATCTTTGAAGCCATTCAGCAAAATGAACTAATCATTTTTCAAGTAATTTCATTCATTTCAGTAGAATATAATTAAAAGGTTAATATCCAAATTCCCCAACACATCTACGCAAACATTGATCACATTTTGAATAAATTACAATTATATAAAGACGGTAAGATATAATAATTAAACGTGAGCAACCATTTCAAAATACTCCCAGACAGAGGAGGATTTGGCTCTGCGCCAGTAGCAGCTGTGATGTTTTACTTTTTTCCATTACTGCAACCCACAGGACAAACTGCGCATTGCACCCAAAATTGTTTTTGTGTGATACGATTCCAAATTTAGGGGGCCCGAGCGGGGGCCAAGCTTCTTGACACGGGGGCACAAGCAAAGCACTGCGTATTAAATGTAGCATATGCATCATGAATATGGAATGCCACGGTCTTAATTCTAATGGATAAATTCAGTTAAAATAATAAAGGGCTGTTACTAGTAAAAATCCGATCAGTGTCAACAAAAGCCATCAGAGCCATCATTACTGAATGCATTTACACTGCAATTAGCCTACAAATGCATAAAATGTTATGAAGTTTTACAGTGTTGCTATGGTTATCATTATGTCAATTACTGCTACTTCGAAAGCAAATCCCGCATAAATATGCGGATGTCATTCCCGAAACTTTGCAACGTTTGTGTGGCCAAAAAACATAGTTCTACATTTTAAATGGACTAGAAAACTCACAAAGAGCGCTCTTTATAACCACTCGAAAAAGCTGTCACTCTTTGTTCATCGCGATCTCACAAAGTTCTGTTATGACCAATGAATCTCACACTGCACAACTCCATCTGCCATCAGTGGTTCAACCGTAACGTTATGAAGCGACGAGAATACTTTTTGTATACACGAAGAAAACAAAAATAATGACTTTATTCAACAATTTGTCTCCTCTGTGTCTCTGCGCATCACCGTAGCGCCATTTTGGAGAATATCCGCTGAACGCAAACTGCGTATGCCAGGGATCCTCAAATCCGGCCCACGAGATCCACTTTCCTGCAGAGTTTAGCTCTAACCCTAATCAAACACACCTGAGCATACTAATCAATGTCTTTCAGGATCATTAGAAAATCACAGGTAGGTGAGTTTGATCAGGGTTGGAGCTAAACTCTGCAGCGCATTGGCCCTCCAGGGCACGATTTGAGGAACCCTGGCGTATGCTATTCTATGTCAGCCGCGAAACAAGGATACGTGATCTACGTGTATTTACACTTTGATTTAAACAGAAACAGCGCATCCATGCAGCGCGGCTGACACAGAAGAGCATACGCTGTTTGCGTTCAGCTCATATTCTCCAAAATGGCGCTACGGTGATGCGGAGAGACACAGAGGAGACGAATTGTTGAATAAAGTCGTTATTTTTGTTTTCAAAAGAGTCTTTCGTTACAGAGTCTTCTTAGGATTTGTAAGTTATATATGGTCAGGCCATATATTCCTCCTCCTCTGAGATGTTATAAGTGCCAAAGGTACGGGCATGTGGCGGCAGTTTGCAGAGGTAAACAGAGATGCGCACGATGTAGGGGTGAACATGAATATGGTCAATGTGGGCAAGAAATTAGTACCAAATGTTGTAATTGAGGAAGAGAGCACAGTGCGGGATACGGAGGATGTAAGGTGAGGAAGCAGGCGGCGCAAGTTCAGATGGTCAGAGCCGAGGAAGGGATATCGTATTCTGAAGCGCTAAAGAATAAAAGAAAGGCAAACAGGATGAAAAGAAAGAGATATCAAATATCACCGACAAAGTGTCATTTGTGTCGTTAATGGCAGAAGTTGTCAACTGTTCTGCTCAAACTGATAGCCGAACAGAAAGAATCAAGATAATAATCAAAGCAGCTGACAAGTATTTGGAGATAAAGGGTATTTCTGTAGACATGATAAATGAAAATCTAAAAGTATATGTAACAAGTTCGCAATCAGGATGTGGTGGATCTTAAAGGGTTAGTTCACCCAAAAATGAAAATTAGCCCATAAATTTCTCACCCTCAAGTCATCCTAGGTGTATATGACTTTCTTCTTTCAGATGAATCCAGTCAGAGTTATATTAAAAATTGTCTTTGATCTTTCAAGCTGTTTCATGGCACTCAGCGGGTGTTGCATGCATCCGTCCAAAAGCAGTGAAATAAAATGCGCCCATCCAAAAAAAAAAAGTGTCTCACACGGCTCCAGGGGATGAACAAAGCCTTCTGTAGCAAATCGATGCGTTTTTGTAAGAAAAATATCCATATTCAAAACGCAATAATCACTTTAATGTAGCTTGCGCTCACTGTTGTACACTGGAAGCAGTTCCGGGGGAATGATATATGAGGTCGGCTTTGCGCATGCGCAGCTCAGAAGTGACGTACGTGGAAGCGCAGGGGAGAGATCAAAACAAAACAACGGTCACTAATTAAAAGTACAAAACGAGGATTTGAATAGAAGACGAATGTCTGATGATTTCGATATACCATACGTCATCCGCCCGGAACTGCTTCCAGTGTACAACAGTCAGCGCAAGCTACATTAAAGTGATTATTACGTTTTGAATATGGATATTTTTCTTACAAAAACACATCAATTCGCTACAGGAGGCCTTAGTTCACCCCCCCCGGAGCCAAGTGAGACACTTTTTTTTTTAATGGATGGGCGCATTTTATTCAAC